TCCTGATATGGCCGGTTTTACACTTTTTAACTTTTCTATCGACTATTATTCCCTTAGGCAAGTTCGGTCCTTTCGCCTAATCGCGTAGTACAAGTTACAAATATTTGGCACACACGTTTAACTTGGTGTATTAGAACGCGAGTTCTAACTCTTTTACGTGCTATCGAATTGCGCACAAATTTATACATCTATTCTAGAGATTCCCATCCAAATTTCCCCGCCGTTCGCGAAAACATGATGTAAAGTGATACCGCGTTGCGCACCTGCGCCACATTTACTAACAAAAATAGTTCTCGCGAAACTTTCTATTTTCTTTTTCTGTTATTAGTATTTGGTGATTTTGTGAAATTGTTCTTTAAGAAATTTATCGAAATGTTATCTTTTAATAGTATAAATTTATTCTTCATGTATAATAGTAGTTACTTTATAAATTACGAATTAAAATAAATTTTTTGACTTCTAAGAATATCACCATATACTGTAAATCGACGCGGATGTCTCAAAACAAATCTAAAGTTCAAATTAGGAGGAATATTTACGCATAAAATGAGATACGGAAGTATAAAGAAGAAATTGAGAGTTCGTCCTGATCTTGGCACTAATATTTAAAAAATCAAATTTTAGTTAAAATAATGCTTCGGACCCTGACGGTTTCCGTTTTCTAGTAATATATGCAAAAATTGTCAAAACCTAATTTCTAAGTTTGACAAGTATAATTTGATAATCTTAATCAAACGAACGTCTATTTTTCTTCAACTTTAATTTTTATTTTACCTTTGGATTTTGAATGTTTTTCGAGTTTCAGCAACGAGTTCAGGCCGCGTAAGCGATGACATAGGTACAAGATCACTAATTTCGGATAAGCGATAGGTCCATAATGCAAGTTGATAACAACCACTGAACCTTTAGATCTTATCCAACCATAATATTGTCCACGCGTTACATGATGTGTCAAATACGCAGATCCAAAATTTGACTTTCTTTCAAAATTTCTGGTTGGTTGATTTCGCAGTCCAGCTGAGCAAATATCTTACCATAATGATGCGTAAAAAAACAAACAGTAAAATCGCAAAAATAAAAATCACCCGTTGGTTTGTTAACTCGAGTCGTCGGACCAGACGGCGGGTGCGAAATTGAAATGTACTCGTTTTCCATGGTGTTCATCTACGTCTCCGACTTGCCTTGGGGGCCTTTATTCGAACCGTGAGCATTTTGTCGGGTTCAATGACCACTATGAAAACGTTATAACTACTGTTGAAGGGTATCACCATATAAATCATAATAAATTAAAGAGGTAATAAAGGCTCGAGTGCCATTCTGTCCTATCTTTAAAACCATAAGATAAACCTTTTATAAAACCTTTCAAAAAATAAATGTAAGTTATCGAATTTGCCAAAGTTATTTGTAACAGTAACCCTACGTCTTTGTTTGTTTCCACTTCTGCCATTCATTAGAATTTGTTTCTTAATCACCAAATACAATATTATCTTGTATATTCACTGCGGCTGATCGAGACTGACGTAAGTTGAAGATCTGTACAATATAATTAAGTATATTAATGATCGCCCAACAATGTACCCAACAATGTGCCCAACATTTCAAAAATCCCTATTTCTTAACAAAACCAATTTTATCACCTAAAAATCATCAATTCGTATTTTCATGACAAGAGAATTGTGCAAATGGATTCACATCGTTCAGTTATCATACAATCAATTCAAAAAACTGCCAACGCAACAGCAGACCCTAATCAATTGTGGACCTTTGTTACATCCCGGTCAGGTATCATTGCTTCTAATGCCATTAAACAAATAATTGACCTTGTGAAATCGGAAGTTGTACCGTGGTCTCAGGCTCTCGATGGTTTCTTGAATGTGTTGTCGACAGTATCAGGAGTAACACTTGATGATGTTATTATTGGTATCACCGATATTTTGTCATTTCACGCAGAACGTGAAATCGATTCAACTCTGGATTACAACTGTCCGTTTAGTGTTAAAGCTGCTCATGGTGGGAAAACGCATCCCTATATAACTATCATATCAACAAATCCTGATGAAACGTGTACAATTTTGTTTTCTCAACTTCAAAGAATCTTTGGATCCATTGGTTCAACTTCACAGAGAAATTCCAAATATCTGCAAAATGTAATGATGATGATGAACCCGTTTTTTGATTTCGTGCTGCTTGATGGCGAATCCACTCAGAACTCTTGGTTTTTAAGGCTGTTGAATTTTATTGTCAACTTGACGTATCGTAACGTCAATGATGAGTTTTTTCAAATATTCCGAGAACGTGTACTGGATTACTTACTTTCGGTGACTCAGAAAATCATGCAGACATCTGATTCGAATATCTCTTCAAAATACACCATTATCTCAAATTCCATCTATCCCATATTGCAATCTCTTGTGGATATTCTTCAAGCGCCCTTCGTCCGAAATAGTTTGAGTTCATCATTCTTGAGAGAGTTTAGTATTAATCTTTCGATTCAGATTCTCTCTGTTTCAACTGACGCTCATCATTCTAATTTGTCGACGATATCGTATGTTTCATTGCTCTCGAATTTGTTGGAACTGCATCAAGATTTTCCAGATGTTATATCGAAACCGAGTTTCGTGATATTGTGGCCATCATTATCTTTCTTACTTCTTGACGCACAATCATGTGAAGTCCAAACTAAGACGCTTGAAATTATGAAAAAATTGACGGAAAATCGGGAAGATGCTATAAACGAACGGGACATCTCTCCTGCATTGATTAACATAGCCGTGTTACCCATATTCCAAGCGATTTCTGAATTACAAGGAACATCAAGAGCTAATGTGATGGATATTCTCTTTGCAGTTCGAAGGTTTAGCATGATTCAAAAAGTTATCAACGAAAGTTCTCGTGACAAGGTAAACATTAAAACAGAAAGTATATTGTCTTTATTACTGGCATCTTTGTTCATCGATATTATGCCAATAGATTTCCGCTTTACTCGAGTCGCAAAACATTTCTGGAACAATCATAGACATATTGTCCGAGACGCGTCTTCTTTTGGAAAATTTTTCAGAGGAATCAAATTTAGAAAACTCTTTCTTGAAATCAAATTCTTATTTGACAAAGCTCTTCCACGTACCATATTTTTTCCACCATGACGTGAAAACTCGGATTCATGCTTTAAACCGCGTAATTTCTGTAATCGGTGAAAACTCGGAATCACATAAATTTCCAATATTCTTAATATTCCTCTACATATTAAGAAATGATGACTCTTCCTCGATTCATATTCATATTTTATATCGCTCCTTGCCATCCCTTGTTTCCGCCAATGACTTTGCCATTTCCTCAAAAATTTTAAAAATATCCATGAGTCTTATCGAGGGAGAGGACGGTTTCAGAGAGACAAAGTTATGCGCAGTTGGCATACGGATGTTGCATAAGCTTTGCATTCGATACAAAGGTTGTTGGAAATCTTTGAGATTCGTATTGGCCGAGTGGGTTAAGAAGAGGAAACTTGTCACGATCTCGAAATTTGATAAGATGTACACCGCGGGTGAAGGATTTGAGGTTGAACTTGCCGCCCTTGCTACCATGAGGTGTGAATTATTGAGGTGTATGATTTTTATACTGGTTAAATAACGATTTTTCATTAATCAACAAGAACTCGTTTCTCCTATATATTTTATCATGTTCATAGAGATATGTGTAGGTCAAATGGAAAAGATTACGCCGAGGAATTACTGCCGTTTATTTCATCGTTATTACAATCTGTAATCTTACATCCAAAGAGCTTATGCTTGATAATAGAATCATTGACTGCTTGCGTTGAAGCAGAAGTCGCAAACGCAAGAGCAGGTGACATATCTCCCGAGTTTGGTTTGTGAAGTCAACGTTTCAATTTTATTGTAACTGCTGACGCGTTCCTCTCGGATTTTACAGTTTGGAGTGTTCTGTTGGTACATGTGGCTAAAGCAATCACGCGACGAGAGGATTTCAACGCCCAGTTAATTTCTAGATTGTGTGACTTTTACAAATCTATTGCTCAGAGTGATGAGAGTATGTTTTTTTGAAGACTTGTATTTTAAAAAAAATGATTAAGATGTTATGGATAATTCATCCATTGAACTGCTAGGTACGGATGTTTATTCCGAATTCAAGAAGGAAATACTATCATCATACATTTGCCCACTTGTATTTCCTCGGAGATTTGATGCAACCGAAGAAGAGGGTCAAAATGTTCTTTTTCAAATACAAAGGGATCGTCGTATTCTTAGACTTGGCCTCCAGACGATATCATATTTTCCTGCTGTCGACATTCTATCATGGATTCTTCTGGAATCACCCGAAGCATTGTTATCACAAATTTTCCACGAGGATGCGGAAGGAGGCTCTGATCTTTGTCAAATCGAAGAGTGGCAATATGTATTTGGCAAAATTATTTCTCATGAAATCAGTAGCATGAGACG